TGTTGACCAGGATGGTCTCGATCTCTTGACCTCGTGATCCACCCGCCTCGGCCTCCCACAGTGCTGGGATTACAGGCTTGAGCCACCGCGCCCGGCCAGTACAGTTAATTGTCTAAAGAAACTTACTGGGAACATAGTTTCTATATTTGGCTTTTACACTAAATTTTCCTATTCAGATAGACTAATTTCTAAATTCTTGATGCTTCTATCTTTAAAATGAAGGGAATATCTTCTCACAGGTAGGGAAGTAGTTGCACTATCAGTCCTTAGGTGCAAGGTGATCACGTGAAGTCGAGTTCATGCCAGTGCTTCTGATGTATTCATTGCCAGTGTTGACAAATTTGACACAGTGTTAGGGCTGCCTTAACAAAGTCCCGCAAGCTGGGCGGCTTAAAGCCACAGAAATCTGTTCTCTCACAGAAGTTGAAATCAAGGTGTTAACAGGGCCACGCTCCCAGTGAAACTGTTGAGAAGAACAGAGTCCTTCTTAGCCCCTTCCAGCTGCTGGTGGGTACCAGCAGTCCTTAGCATTCCTTGGCTTAAGGCTACATCGCTCTGATCTCTGCCTTCCATGGTCATCTTCTCTCTCTCTCTCTCTCTCTCTCTCTCTCTCTTTTTTTTTTGTTTGCGATGGAGTGTCACTCTAGTCACCCAGGATGGAGTGCAGTAGCACAAGTTCAGCTCATTGCAACCTCCGCCTCCCCGGTTCAAGCAGTTCTCCTGTCTCAGCCTCTCAGGTAGCTGAGATTACAGGTGCTCATCACCACGACTGCATAATTTTTGTATTTTTAGTAGAGACAGGGTTTCACCATTTTGGCCGGGCAGGTCTCCAACTTCTGACCTCAGGTGATCCACCCACCTCAGCCTCCCAAAGTGCTGGGATTACAGGTGTGAGCCACTGCGCCTGAGCACTCTCTCCTTTTCTTAAAAGGATGCCCGCCATGCTGGAGTAAAGGCCCACCTACTCCATCCAGCATGACCTCATCTTAACGAATCCTGTCTGCACTGACCCTCTTTTTAACGAGATCATATTCTGAAGTCCTGGGGGTTAGGACTTCAACCCATGACAGACATGTTCTAAGCTAACCATGAACATCTGTCTGTTACTCTCCAATTTTTATTTTATTTTTATTTTTGGCAGAGTCTTGTTCTGTCACCCAGGCTGGAGTTCAGTGGCATGATCTTGGCTCACCGCAACCTCAACCTCTGGGGTTCAAGTAATTCTCATACTGTGCCTGGCTAATTTTTATATTTTTAGTAGATACGGGGTTTCACTATGATGGTCAGGCTGGTCTTGAACTCCTGGCCTCAAGTGATCTGTCAGCCGCAGCCTCTCAAAGTGCTAGGATTACAGGTGTGAACCACCGCACCAGCCCTACTTTCTGATTTTTAGAAATCTATCCGGGTGCCTTTTCTATTTACTGTGGTCTCTGTTTTAAATATATTTCCCCTAGATTGAGGATATATTTAACGAAATCAAGTTTGGGGAGTATGTGGACACCGGAAAGCTAATCGACAAGATCAACTTACCAGATTTCCTCAGAGTGTACCTTAACCACAGGCCACCTTTTGGTAACACCTTGAGTGGCATCCACAAGAGCTTTGAGGTGCTCGGTTATACCAACTCCAAAGGCGAAAAGGCCATCCGAAGAGAGGACTTCCTGAAACTGCTTGTTACCAAAGGTAAGCACATACACCGGGATGTCTGGGAACATCCTGGGGCCATTCCCCATGTAGAGAACTGAGTGTCGGGAGCCAGCCCCTGTGGGAGCTCCGTCTTTCATGAAAGAGGTGATTTGACCGGATTTGAGCCACGAAGGATCTGGCTGACCCACCTGCATCCCTGGCAAGTACAAGGTAATGGGAGGGACCCGGAGCTAAAAAGCAGAAGAATGCAATTTGTGTTGCAGCTTCCTGAACCTCAGCAAGACTCAGCGTCCTTACTTGTAAAATGGGAATAAAAATGCCAGCTGATCCATCTCACAGGGTGTCATAAGATTTGTGTTGATCTGGGCATGGTGGCTCACACCTCTAATCCCGGAACTTTGGGATGCCGAGGCGGGCAGATCACCTGACGTCAGGAGTTCAAGGCCAGCCTGGCCTACATGGTGAAACGCCATCTCTACTAAAAATACAAAAATTAAATGGGGGTGGTGGCGGACACTTGTAATCCCAGCTACTTGGGATGCTGAGGCAGGAGAATCACTTGAGCCTGGGAGGCAGAGGTTTCAGTGAGCCAAGATTGTGCCATTGCACACCAGCCTGGGTGACAGAGCAAGACTCTGCCAAAAAAAAAAAAAAAAAAAAGAAAAAAGAATAAAAAGATTTGGATTGCATTTGTGGAATGCAACCAGACCAAAGTAAACTTTTTAATTTTTACCTACTATGTTTCTCATTATTGTCCATGAGGATGTCAAGTAAACTCTCTCTGGATGACATTTTCATCCTAGTCCAGCTGGGTGGTCCTGATAAGAAGGAATTTGAAATGATGTAGAGCCTGGTCTCAGCAGCATGCTGCCTTATTTCTCTGTGCCAGACCCACGTGTTTTCCCTGCCTGGAGGACCCTGTTTAACACCATTAAGGAAGTATATGTGACAGTACTATGGGATTCCAGATTGTCTTTGTGTCTAAAGAAAAAGGGCTTGGCATGGTGGCTCACACCTGTAATCCCAGCACTTTGGGAGGCTGAGGCAGGAAGACCGCTTGAGCCCAGGAGTTCAAGACCAGCCTGGCTAGCATAGTAAGACTTCATATCCACCAAAAAAGTTATTTTTTGTTTGTTTGTTTTTTTCTGAGACAGAGTCATGCTGTGTTGCCCAGGCTAGAATGCAGTGGCACGATCTCAGCTCACTAAAACCTCTACCTCCAGGGTTCAAGCAATTCTCCTGTCTCAGCCTCCCAAGTAGCCACCACACCCAGCTAATTTTTGTGTTTTTAGTAGAGACGGGGTTTCACCATGTTGGCCAGGCTGGTCTCAAACTCCTGATCTCAAGGATATACCTGCCTTGGACTCCAAAAGTGCTGGGAGTACAGACAGGCACCACCGCATCCAGCCTAAAATTTTTTTTTTAATTGTATAAAAGAAAAAAAAGTGGGATGATTCTCCTTAAGCCCTCTGAATAATAACCCCCAAGCCCTGAGAGTATGCTTAGCCCCAAGAGCCAAGCAACCACCTTCTTACTCTGTGACACACAGGTGAGCACATGACGGAGGAGGAGATGTTGGATTGCTTTGCTTCGCTGTTTGGCCTGAATCCTGAGGGATGGAAATCCGAGCCTGCAACCTCCTCTGTCAAAGGTACCCTGGCTGGCTTTGTCTGGGCATGTAGCCGTGGCTCACTAATTTCTTGTAGACTTAAGTACATTTATTTCTCTTGATTGGTGGAAGCCACTCTCCCTAAGACTGTGCACATAGCAAAGTAAGTCTTTTGGGAATCCCACATGAATAAGTTATGGAAAGACCAGTGAGTGGTGGCCACGCTGAAGAGATGAAGCTTTTGTTCCTGCGCTCCGTCCGTCCTTTTGTTGTGCGTGGGCTTGTTTTTCCTTTTGTTCCACTGATCTGTCATCTTGCCAGCTTGGGTGGGTGAATGTTGGCCACCAGTAGAGGATCCAGTTTGGCAGCTGTTTCAGAAGAAGAGGTATGCCAGGAAAGACTTGGGGGCCAGGCACCATGGCTCATGCCTGTAATCCCAGCACTTTGGGGAGAGGAGGCAGGAGAATCGCTTGAGCCCCAGAATCTGAGACAGGCCTCTGCAACATAGCGAGATCCCATCTCTACAAAAAATAAAACAGGCTGGGCACAGTGGCTCACACTTGTAATCCCAACACTTTGGGAGGCCGAGGTGGGTGGATCACTTGAGGTCAGCAGTTCAAGACCAGCCTGACCAACATTGTGAAATCCCATCTTTACTAAAAACACAAAACTTAGCCAAGCATGGTGGCGCATGCCTATAATCCCAGCTACTTGGGAGACTGAGGCAGGAGAATTACTTGAACCCGGGAGGTGGAGGTTACAGTGAGCCTGGGCAGCAAGAGCAAAACGCCATCTCAAAATAAATAAATTAATTAAATAAAACAATTATCTGGGCATAGTGATGCTGTTAGTCCCAGCTAATCAGGAGGCTTAAGTGGGAGGATGACTTGGGCCCAGGAGTTCATGGTTGCGGTGAATTAGGGTTGTGCAAGTGTACTCCAGCCTGGGCAACAGAGTGAGAACCTGTCTCAATTTTTTTTTTTTTTTTTTGAGACGGAGTTTCACTCTTGTTACCCAGGCTGGAGTGCAATGGCGCGATCTCGGCTCACCGCAACCTCCGCCTCCTGGGTTCAGGCAATTCTCCTGCCTCAGCCTCCTGAGTAGCTGGGATTACAGGCACGCACCACCATGCCCAGCTAATTTTTTGTGGTTTTAGTAGAGACGGGGTTTCACCATGTTGACCAGGATGGTCTCGATCTCTTGACCTCGTGATCCACCCACCTCGGCCTCCCAAAGTGCTGGGATCACAGGCTTGAGCCACCGCGCCCGGCTCAATTTTTTTAAAAAAGAGACAGAGAGAAGGATTTGGAGAAGGAGAGAGCAACAACTTGGTGGGCAGCACAAGCTCAGCTGCAGGCTGCCAAAACTTTTGAATTTTTGTGTTTGTTTGTTTTAAAACGGAGTCTTGCTCTGTCGCCCAGGCTGGAATGCAGTGGCGCGATCTCGGCTCACTGCAACTTCAGCCTCCTGGGTTCAAGCGATTCTCCTGCCTCAGACTCCCAAGTAGCTGGGACTACAGGTGCATGCCACCACGCCCAGCTAATTTTTTTGTATTTTTAGTGGAGATGGGGTTTCGCCCTGTTAGCCAGGATGGTCTCAATCTCCTAACCTCGTGATCTGCCCACCTCAGCCTCCCAAAGTGCTGGGATTACAGGCGTGAGCCACCATGTAGGCCAACTTTCAGATTTTTAAAGGTCATCCTCCTCTCCCTTCCTGCTATAGCCTAAGTATTTTTCACCTTCTTTTAGTGCACTGGACCTGACGTTAGGGTTGTGACTTTCAGCTCGGGAGGAACCAATCTAAACGGCTCTTCTAGGCTCGCAGGTGCAGGAGCACCTCTGCTGACAAGCCCAGGGGTGGTCAGATCCCACCACCGTCACCACGACCGAGGAGGGTGCAAAGGCCCCTCACGCATTCCCTTTTCTCTCTCCTTTTGTTATCCATTCCCCACATCAAAGTAAACAAAGTCCCTGAACTCAGATAATTCCAGACTGTAGTATCTAACGGGTCATTCCCAACCTGCAAGCTCTCCCTACCCCATTCCTTCATGTACTTCGGATATCAGAATGTGCCTTTACCAATTGTTATATATTTATGCTGTGTTCCCAGGTACCTTGAAACAGAAAAATCAGTCATACCATGTGGTTAAGGCTTTCCAGAGAGGTTTGCAGAGATTTGGTTAACAATGTTCTTTTCTGCAAAGGAGAGATTTTTAACCAATTTCCACCCAGAGGTTTTCAAGGAATCAAAGCCACATCACAGCACAAAGCACCTCTTCTTTTTGTTTAGTAGCGTTTCCTTGTGTTTTTGGAAAATCCTTCTGAGTTAGAAACGTAATCATGGTGGCCGGGCGTGGTAGCTGTAATCCCAGCACTTTGGGAGTCTGAGGTGGGAGGATCACTTGAAGCCAGCAGTTTGAGACCAGCCTGGGCAACATAGCAAGATCCCGTCTATACAAAAAAAATTTTAATGAGCTGGGTGTGGTGGTGTGTGCCTGTAGTCCCAGCTACTTGGGAGGCTGAGGTAAGAGTCTCACTTGATCCCAGTAAATCAAGGCTGCAATGAGCTACGATTGCTCACTGCACTCCAGCCTAGGCAACAGAGAAAGAAACATAATTATCATGAAGGCATTTGGTGTTCTTTTCTTGTTTTGGCTAGGTTCAGAAATTTGCCTTGAAGAAGAACTTCCGGACGAAATCACTGCAGAAATATTCGCAACTGGAATTCTTGGCTTAACCATTTCAGAAGATTCCGGCCAGGATGGTCAGTGAAGTTATCAAGAATGTTTAAAGCACAAAAGACTTTGGATGTGTGTGGATGCACTTGCTATGTTTTTCATGAGGCACTGCTTTTTATGTATTTCCCTCCCCCCCCCCCATCTTTAGAACATTTAGACATTAAAGCAAATTTCTGGTGAGCAATGGAATTCACAAAGTTGGACATTCCACTGTTTCTGAAATAGAAAAGTGGGCGGAGGCAAGAAAAACCCTGGCAGCTGGATATACTTGGTGGCTGGATCCCTGGGTCTCTGGCGATGCCGCCTGCATGGGATTGCACGGAATACAGAGGGGCGTGGTCTCAGGGCAGAGGGGTCCTCAGCCTGCAGCAGACCTGCCTCACAACACATATGGTCCAGGGAAATGATGGTCCATGGCCTCATCCCCTTTCCTTGCAGGGCTGCCTGGACCCTCCACCCAGTGTGGCCCAGTGTGGATCACCCCTGCCTGGTGTGGGGTGGGGTGGGAGTGCCGGGTGTGCCAGGCTCCTGAGAGTCCCGGATTGTGGCTTCTTATCAGCAAAACACCCAAACGGCGGTGTGTGGCCGTTATAAAGAGCATCACTAGCCATGCGTAACCCCAGTGGCAGCTGCCAGGAAAATGCAGAAGCCCTTCTGAGTCCCCCCGAATCCGTTCACGCTGCACCTGGGCCAGAAACCACAGAATAGTCCCACCCAGCAGAGGCTGGGGCCTCCCTCGCACCCACACTCACCAGTGTGGTGGCTTGGCCACCTCACACTCCGCTGGGCCGCGGGGCCGGTTCCCCAGCTCTGGGACATTTAGGGGATGTTACTAAGTTTATAGCAAGATTTTGGCCTTGAAAATAGCATAGCATTGTAGTGTGAACAGATGAGAGTTACAGGCTGACTTCAGAATTTTGTCACCCATTCTGAGGTCTCATTCAGGCAAAGGTGCCAGAAGTCATTCTCCAACACGCTCCGCCCAGCACACCCCCCAGACCAGCTTCTTCCCTAGAGAAACCAGCATCTAAGATAACATTTCGGATCCGCTTAAAGTGGCTTTCTCTGAAGGCACATTCTGCAGCAGAGAAACAATGACAACCACATCGGTACTCATGCACGAAGCCCCCTCCACTACGTGGGGTCCAGCTGGAAATCTGGCACAGTGAGTCTTTGGAATGCCCCGGAACATGTAACGGAACTGTCTACCCCAAACCAGGCTGTGTCACTGTGACCTCGGGGCAGACAGCACGGGCCAAGGTGCTGCTGGCGCCAGCTTGTCAGACCGTGTCACCAGGGCTTTGCAACCTAGTTTACATTTTGTTCTTTTTAAAAAACATGAAAAGAAAAACAAGCTTTATGAATCAATTTTGCAGCTGCTGAGGGCTTAGGAGATCTAGTATCAAGCCAGTTAAAAAGTTCCTGGGGACATTTTAGGGAACAAGAAACTCTCAAATGACTTGTTCTCTTCAAAAAACAACTCAGAATTAGATGCAATCTGGACACCAACGGCGGGCTTTGTTCGTTGAATCTGGCGCCCTCTGATTTGGTTCCGATTGACGGGGTGTACTGTAATTGTCTTGAGCAGAACCGACCTGTGGTTAGTTGGACCCACTGTGGCGGGCGGGCTCAGTAAGCTGGGACACTGCCCGGGGCAGGCGGATGCTCTCTCTCTGCCCATCCAGCTTTAGTGTCTCCTCTGGAGTCAGGAGGGGAAGGTAGAGCCCTGGTTATGGATCATGGTTATGGTTATGTTCACCGAGGAGACCAAAATCACCATGGACAGCAGGATTGGCATGAATGGCATTGCCGCCCCACACCCAGCCCAGCCTGCCAGGGGACCCTTCTTATCTGGGGGCCTCTTTCTGCAGGTGTCTGTGGGGTGTTTTGGTTTTTGTTTTTTTGAGACTGAGTCTTGCTCTGCCACCCGGGCTGGAGTGCAGTGGCGCAGTCCCAGCTCAGTGTAACCTCTGCCTCCCGGGTTCAAGTGAGTCATATGCCTCAGCCGTCCATGTATCTGGGATTGCAGGAATGTGGCACCAGCCACCACACCCAGCTAATTTTTTTTTTTTTTTTTTTGAGACGGAATCTCATTCTGTTGCCCAGGCTGGAGTGCAGTGGTGTGATCTCGGCTCACTGCAACATCAGCCTCCCGAGTTCAAGTGATTCTCTGGCCTCAGTCTCCCAAGTAGCTGGGATTACAGGCGTGCACCACCATACCTGGCTAATTTTTGTATTTTTAGTAGAGATGGGATTTCATCCTGTTGGCCAGGCTGGTCTCGAACTCCTGACCTCAGGTGATCCACCCATCTCAGCCTCCAAAGTGCTAGGAGTACAGGTGTGAGCCACTGTGCCCGGCCAAGGTGCTTATGTTTTGTTGTCCCCCAACTTCCTTGACAAAGGCAGGGCAGCCCCTTTCAGCCCCAGGAGGTCCTCTTCACCTCCCGTCAGGGCAGGCCCAGCCTGGTGGCCACACAGGTGAGAAAAGGGAGGCCCTAGCAGCCTGGTGCCATCAGCAGGAAAGAGGGCACGGCAAAGAGAGCTCAGGCTCCTGGCAGGGGAGGCGGGAAGGCAGCGACAGCAGGAGGGGACAGCAAAGGAGACAGCATCGTGGAGCTCCCGTGTGCATCACACTTAGGGACTAAACGCGGAATATCAGAAACACACTGTGATGCTCCTTTGCAGAAAGATTCCTGTGTGTTCCACACAGGGCCTGTGGCCGGCTGACTCTCACATCCCGGTTTGTGCGTTCTGGATCAGGCACCAGCAAGAGCCTCCCCAGTGCCAGCTCTCTGCTGCAGACCCCCAGTCACCTGCAGGTGAGGGCCTCGCCCGCACAGCATTCTGCGCCGGGAACCCACTGACTTGCCGCCCTCCTGTTCAGCTTCTGCAACTTTCTAGCCACCTGTGCGCCCTTGGGTGTGGCTAAGCTCTTAGACCTCAGTTTCCTACCGGAGCAACTCCTGCGATGGTGGTGCGGATGAGAAGAGACGGTGCGAGTAAAGCGTCATTGGCACAGGGTAGAGCTCCAAATACAACGGCGGCTATTGTCATCACAGCAGAAACTGTGCCTGAGAATCAGGAAGACATCTGGTGCAAAGTAACCTCCCTCAACCTCAGAATTTGAGCAGGAGTTACCGTTTGCTCAAATAGGGGTCTCTCCTAGTTTTCTTTTTTTTTTTTTTTTTTGNGACCAGGATGGTCTTGATCTCTTGACCTCGTGATCCACCCGCCTCGGCCTCCCAAAGTGCTGGGATTACAGGCGTGAGCCACCGCGCCCGGCTGTCTCTCCTAGTTTTGACGATGAGCTCTCAGCAAGTATTTGTGGAATGATGGAGTGAATGAACTTGAAGCCTCCATGCTCTTTCCTTCCTTCCCTCCTTCCTTCTTCCTTCCTTCCTTCCTTCCTTCCTTCCTTCCTTCCTTCCTCTCTTTCTTTTTCTCTTGAGACAGAGTCTCGCTCTGTTGCCCAGGCTGCCGTGCAGTGGCACAATCTCAGCTTACAGCAACCTCTGCCTTCTGGGTTCAAGTGATCCTCCTGCCTCAGCCTCCGGAGTAGCCAGGACTACAGCCTGCAACACCACACCCGGCTAATTTTTGTATTTTTAGTAGAGACGGGGTTTCATCATGTTGGCCAGGCTGGTCTTGAACTCCTGACTTCAGGTGATCCACCCTCCTCTGCTTCCCGAAGTGTTGAGATTACAGGCGTGAGCCACCGCGCCTAGCTGCTCTGTGCTTTTTTCATAGGTAACTTAGCTTTGGAATGAAAGCGAATGGCAGGTCCTCACCGGGCCCTCGTCAGGGCGGGCAAACTTCCCCTGTCAAGGGCCAGGGAGTAAATATTGAGGCTTTTGGGGCGAAAGAGCCTCAGTAGTGACTTCCCAATCCTGCCATGTAGTGCAGAAGCCCCAGGGACAACACAGAAAAGAATACCTGTGGCTGGCTGCCTCCCAGCCCAGCTTTACCTATGGACCCTGACATTTGGATTTCATAATAATTTCCACGTATCATGGAATATTATTTGTCTTTTGTTTCTTTTTTTTTTTTCCAACCGTTTAAAAATGTGAAACCCATTCTTAGCTTGAAGACCTGCACACAGAGGCAGCAGCCTGGATTTGCCCCACAGGGTGCCCACCACCCCACCTCTGCCTTGTAGGCCAAGGGTACTCGTTCCCACTCATTTCTACAAATACTACAAATCTGTACCAAACACCTGACCAGCACTTTTCAAAAACATGCCAAGGTCTGACGGGCAAGGAAAGATGGAGAAACTCTTGTAGATCAGAAGAGACGGAACCATGGCAGCTAAATGCAGTGTGGACACCTGGACCCATTCCCGAAACAGAAAAAGGACATGAATAGGAAAGCCGGTGAAATCCAGCTCAAGCCTGTGGTTTAGTTAATAGTGTTGCACCAACGTTAATTTCTGAGTTTTGGGCGGGGCGCAGTGGCTTATGCCTGTCATCCCAGCACTTTGGGAAGCTGAGCTGGGGGGATCACTTGAGCCCAGGAGTTCAAGACCTGCCTGGGCAACATAGGGAGATCCTGTCTCTACAAAACATTTTTTTTTTAAATTAGCTGGGCATGGTGGAGCATGCCTGTGGTCTCAGCTACTTGGGAAGCTGAGGCCAGAGGAGCTCTTGAGTCTGGGAGATGGAGGCTGCAGTGAGCCATGATTGCACCACTGCATGTGAGCCTGGGTGACAGAGCAAGGTCCTGTCTCAAAACAAACAGGCTGGGCGATGTAGCTCGTGCCTGTAATCCCAGCATTTTGGGAGGCAGAGGTGGGCAGATCACAAGGTCAGGGGTTTGAGACCAGCCCGGCCAACATGGTGAAACCCCATCTCTACTAAAAATACAAAAAATTAGCCAGTCGTGATGGCAGGCACCTGTAATTCCAGCTACTCGGGAGACTGAGGCAGGAGAACAACTTGAACCAGGGAGTTGGAGGTTGCAGTGAGCAAAGGTCATACCACTGCACCGCAGCCTGGTGACAGAGCAAGATTGTAAAAAAAAAAAAAAAAAAAGAAAGAAAGAAACACACAAAATTTCTGAGTTTTGGTCAGTGTATCACGGTTGTGTAAGATGTTCACATTAGAGAAATCGGGTGAGGGGTCCAGGGAACATGGCACTATCTTGGCAAGCCTAAAATTATTTCAAAATAAAGTTTTAAAAAATGAAATCTGTGGCCCC